TACAAATCTGAAGGAGATAGAGTTTGAATTTTTATATTAAAATTTTTTACATATATTGATCGGCGAAAAATCCGTATGTATGACTTTTTATATGTGTGGTCAACTATGTTTGTGTTTACTGAAATTTGTAACACCCCAATGTTTCACGTGACAAATTATAATAAAAATTGGGGTTCTTAATAAAGCAAGATCAGCTGGAAATTTTGGCAAATGGCGCAGCGCATGTAATTACCCCACAATTACAATTTAATTATTTTTTGACAATTCCCCAAAATCTTAGATAATAAAAAAAATTAATGATTCTTTGTGTTGGAAAGCAAAAAAAGAATAAATGCACTTACTCCACAATATAATTATTAATTATTAATTATTATGCACGCACGCAAACCTATCAATATGCATATTAATATTAATATATATAAATATATATTTTATATTATAATGTTTTTCATTGTTGTTATTATTTTATCGATAATCAATTTATAATTGTTTGTTATTTATTATTTTCGTTCTTTATATTATTTACTCTGCTTATTTTAGATTTCGTAAGTTTTCCCGGGAATTTATTCTTATCACACTTTTGTCCCATATAATATACGTTGGTGATTTTACCAAAACCGAATTTGGAATTAGTCTAAAAATTGCCGAGTTTGTTGCTATAATAATAATAATAATAATAATAATAATAATAATAATAATAATAATAATAATAAACGATGAATAATGAGCTTTGATTTTAATTGGCTAGAAATTAAAGAGTTTATGTCGACTATTCGGCTTTGGCAATGAACTATTAGGCGAAATATAAAATTCTTTGTTCAACTTTGTAGAGAGATATAAAAATAGCAATAAGTGTTTATCAGTAGAAAAGTTCTTGTCAAAAAGAATTAACGGAATCATATATGTTATTTGTTATTCTTCACAACGTTGATTATAACTAAAACACAAGGAACTTAGAGCAATCAGTGTCAAAATCACTCAACAACAATTATTTCATATACTAACATTGGAAAAAGTAATTCGGGTTCTTTAATTCCATAATTTCAAATTTTAAAGTAACTCGGAGAAATTCAGGAAATAATATGTCAAACTAAAATTAAAGATTAAAGTCAAATCAATTGGACAAAAACAGAAAGTTTATATAGTTTTTTATGAGAATAATCAAATGATTGTGTTAAATCGTATTTACCTGATTGTGTAATGAATATATTATTATCATTCATTAATTAATGATTGATTTTTCATCAAATCTGTCTAATCTTTATAAAATAAACCTGTCCAAAATCTATGATAATGCTATGGAATTGGCCGATCAATAGGAATCTTAGTTTAAGTAGATGGTGTATTTTTGGTTATAATTGCCCTTTTTTTTTTTGATGATGGTATATTTGAGAATAGGGTATTTTAGAATTTTTGCAAACATACTATTTTTTTGTACATTTAAAATTAAGCATTTTTTAAACCACAAATTTGTTCTGAAGATGGTGGTACTCATGTCATATGTATTTGTGGTAATAAAATAACCCTTTTGATGATGATTATATAAATCAGCATGTATAAGGAAATGGGCTTTAAGAAAACCACCCAATACACTGTCATCAATAGATTTATTCATACATTGGTCTTTGTGGTAATAAACATAAAACATATATTGAAATTATTTCCTTAGCAAATATAAATTCTTTATTTCCAATAATTATTGATAGTTTTGGCATTGCTGTCATCAAAAATATTACATGCATTATTCAGATTTACCTTCATTGTCATCATTGTATTATTTGTGTTTTGGTATTTCATGATAAACCACATGGTTTAACAACATTAAGTGGGATAGCTTTAGAGCAATTTCAAAATTTTAATCAAGACAGTGTAAAAGATCAATTAAAAGTTAAGAATTATACCATATGTGAAAAATTGTAATATTTTCTTTTTAGAATCCACTAAATTTTTATTATTAAACCATTATTTGCATATTTATTCTTTGGAAATTCCCTAAATACATTAAAATTAATTTTTGATAAATAATTTCTTACAAAGCATAAATATTTTTTTTAAAATTAAAAAATCAATAACCTACATAATTAATATAATCTGGACTTTCACAAGCCTCATACTCATTTATTACATCTTGTATTACCCCTCTGAATTCATATAATAAAAAAATATAAAATATAAATATAAAATAATGATTATATAGATTTGTTCTTTTTAAATACCTTGCAACATCAAATTCTTCCAGATTATCAGAAAACATATCTTCTTTACGATATTGATCAAGGAAGGCACCACGTTTTCTGAAACGGTCATACTGATCACAAATACGTTTCAAAAGCTAGAATAAACAAATCAATGGTTGATCTCAAATAATGAAAGCTTTATATAAATTAATTAACCAATTAATAATGATTTTACTAACTGAACCAATGCTAGTGTGATTAGCTAACATCAAACCACTCACACGGTGAGAAGTTTGAACATATGGTGATTTCTTTGTTAAAGCCACTTGAATACTAGCTGGTCCCCATGGTATGAATTGTGCTAATCGGCGTTCACGTATTCTTAATAAAGATTTGTGAACCTTTTTTTTTTTTAGAATGATTTTATTAATTAGCAGTATTTCTTTCCAAAATGATACCATAAAACATTAATCAATAATCTCTTACATCAGTAGGATCAGCTTCACCTTGAATAATATTTAAAACAGATATATAGCAACTTTTTTTTGATGGATTTGTTGAAACCATTTTGTTTTTAGGTTGTAACAATCTTCTCATTACATCAAGCACTGTTGTTTTACGCACAGATTTTGCCTATAATGAATAATACTATTAAGAAAGAGACAAACTAAAATGATTTTTTTTTTAAAAAAATCAAAAAACCTTTTCAACATTATCACTAGTGAAAGGTGTGTAAGCTGTCATTAGATAATGACATTTTGGAGTAGGGATTAAAGAAGCAATTATCCCAACAAGATCATTATTCATATAACCAGGATATCTTAATGTTGTTGTACTTGCAGACATGACAGTTGATACCTAAAATAAAAAATATAAAAGCCATATATTTATTATATTAAACATAAAATCTAAACATAATAAATATATAAATATATATATATCTACCAACTGATTTGTTTGAGCAAATGTTGGATTTTGTATATGAAGCCTATCTGATGCTAATCTATTCAATGCAGCATTATCTAATACAACCTACAAATCAACAATTATATATTGTTAAATCCATCAATCAATTAATAGATTAATTAATTGAAAAAAATTTTTAATAAAATTTTTACCACGCAATCTGCATTGTTGCTCAATCTTCTTAATGTTAAAATACTATTGTATGGTTGTACAACTACATCTGAAACCTCCTCATTATTTGGAAATACTGAATAAGTTTGTATTAATTTTTTAGGATATCTATCATTAAGTCGTTCCAAAATAAATGATCCCATTCCAGAACCAGTTCCGCCTGCAATAGAATGAAGAAGCATAAATCCCTTTTTTAAAAAAAATCAATAATTAATCTATATGTAGGTATTTATATTTAATTGATGATTTTATTCACTACCTCTAATGAATCACTTCCATCTGCTTCACGATCAATCATCTCAAATATATCTTCACAGACCTTTTCAGCTTGATTATATCCGTAAACCCAAATATTACCAGCACCACCACCATCCTTTGATACAAAAATATTTTCTGGATTATAAAGATTAGCATATGATGATGTTAAAATATTATTGATGACCTAGTATGTATATGTGTGTGTTTTATTATTATTAAAGAATACTTTTGCTGATAATAATAATGTAATCAAAGAAAATATATGTATATATGTAATAGATAAATACCCTTGGTTCTAAGTCTAGTAGCAAAGCTCTTGGTATATAATGTTCATCATCAGCCTAAACAATAAAATAAAAACTATTTATAAATCTATATAAATATACACGAAATATATTAAAAAAATCAATACCTGATAAAAAAAAACATCTTTTCGATCACTTCCTTCTGTAGCAAAATCTTCTAGTATACCTTCATTACTTATACCATGTTCAGCACATAGTTGGGACCAAAATTCCATACCAACTGTTCTTCAACCAAAACAATATATTTATTATATATTGTATATGTAAAGTATATATAATTTATTTGTTATTATATACACTTCAATAAACATACTTTGGTTCCCACATTGACCAGTTTGAATAGTTATTAGTTCGCGTGGCATGATTTAAATTTTCGCTATTGAATATTTCTACAACACGTGTTACAACAAAGTGAACATTGGTATTACCAAGAATTTCAGGGGTCAATAGTGTCCACAATTGTATTACCAATGTAACGTGATCATGATATTAATTTTTTTTTCTTAGGATTGATTAAAAATATATAGTTAATATGAAGCTAATTTACATTAGGTCTACAATGGAAGCCAAGAATTATAGCATCATTAGAAGTATTTTGAAGGAACAAGATGAAAAAATTGCACTTTACATTTTCAAAATAAATGATACTCAAACACTTGAAGCTTATCTAAGAAAAGAAAATATTACCTATGAAATTTACCAAGAAGAAAGAGTTTTCAAAAGAGTATTAGAGAATTCTAGTAAAGAATCAAAAAAAAAAGAAAACTGGCAGAATAACTTGATAAAACAAATAATTCAACTTTGTTAATTTTTTAATTACCTTTTATTTTCAATCAAGGTCATTTCTTAGTTTTTTTAACTTCAATTTGAGCAATTTGACCATTCTGTTGATCTTTTAACTTCTTATTTTCCTCTTCTAGTTGCTTAATTTTTTCTTCTAAACCCTTTATCTTATCCAATAATTCTTGTTTCTGCTTTTTACTTCATTCCTCAGACTTTTCCTGAAACTTAGTTACTTTTTCCCTTTTGATATTTAATTCTTCTTTGCAGTTGATAACTCTCTTTCTAGTTCTCTATTTTTATTTTCTAGATGAGAACCAAAAGCCTGTGAAAGTAGTTCTTTATCAGAAAGTGGTTTGGCTGATTTGGCTTTCAAATGGCTACAAAAGCACCTATTTCTGTTCCTCTTTAACCTACCACATTTTTCACAGCATGGGAAAATGTCATTGTCATAATCTTTTTTACATTTGCTACAAATAAAAACTATGTCAGAGTAACCATCAGGAGTATTATGAGCTACCATTTGGTGGGTAGCAGGAACAGTATCAAAATTGAAATTAGTTGGATCATCAAAATCTAGAAAACAAAAATTACATTCTTGTTCATCACTCTTTGCTATTTCCATATTCTAACTTCATACAATTATTCACAATGAAAGTTTGGAACTTCTCCTTAGCCTTTTCTTTTACTTTACTTACCAATTGTTTAAGTTTTCACAATCTATTTTGCTTTTGTTTCTCTGGAAAAGCTGATAATTCTTTCTTTTCTAAGTAATCCCTTCAGTTTATTTCCTGATTCTTAGCCATCAAATTATTTCCAACAAGTCTATTTGGTCTAGAACTTTGCCCATTGCAGCATCATGCTTCAAAACCATTTCAAACATTTGACACTTTCTCCACTTCATAGCTGTATTTAGTGCTTTCCCAGCTTCTTCACGTTCCATTCATACTTCATCTTCTAACTCTTCTATTCTGTTTTCTTGCTCTTTAATCTCAGTTTCTAACTCTTTGGTTTTCTCTTTATATTCTTTGCTTTGTTCAAAAAGTTGTTGATATTTTCTGCTTGACTCTGAAATATATTTAGCACAAGTAGAAGCTAAATCTTTTGAACTATCACAAAACTCATCTAACATTCCTTCAATAGTGATATTATCTAAATAAACTCTTTCAATTTCTCTCAAAATTCAGCTAGGATGATTAAGATCTTTAGCCATTCTTAATTACCTTCATCTATCATTTTTGATTTAGATTTTTGTATCAGAAAGAGTCGGTCAGATAACCAGTTACATGTCAGATTTTTAGTTTAAGGTCTTCAACTTCCACTTCTTTTTTCTTATTGATGTTGTTAATTTCTTCTAATTGTTGTTTGTTTCTTTGTTTAAGTTCATTTATTATGTTTTTCATGATTTCTTTTTTATTTATTTCTAATATGGGGCATGCTGCAACAAAACCAGACAAAGTGAACATTGGTATTACCAAGGATTTCAGGGATCAAAATTCAGTCATTTGTTAAGTGATATATGGAATTACCTCTATATAAAATAGTTAATATGAAGTTAATTTACATTAGGTCTATCATGGAACCCAAGAATTATAGCACCATTAGAAATATTTTGAAGAAAGAACAAGGTGAAAAAATTGCTCCTTATGTTTTCAAAATAAATGATACTCAGACACTTGAAGCTTATCTAAGAAAAGAAAAGATTACCTATGAAATTTACCAAGAAGAAAGAAAAATAATAATGTTAGAAAAAGAAAACAGGATGATGATGTACAATTACAAAACAAAGACAGAAAGCTCTGGGCAAAAAAATCTAATACAAACTTACTGTCTATTTTATCTTTCTCAGTGAAATTTCTGAAACCAATACTAATCTTCCACTCCAACTATAATTTTCTCTCTTGTGATTGAGCATTGATTTTTTTTTACGCAATCAAAATTCGCGATTTTGATTGGCTAATCAATAATTACATGGGCTAACATTTCGTGTTACCAGAACGGTCTTTCCATGGACAGATATATAGATACAGTCAAACTCGTTATAACGGACCTTGTTATAACGAATTTTTGTTATACTGAACAAAATCTTTTTATAACGAATTTATATGATACCTCGTTATTCTGTATAACGAACATTTATTAAAAAATTTTATATATATTACTAGTCGCGTTATACCGAATTTTTTATGAACACAGATTGTCTATACTAAAAATGTTCAAGTTTGTATTTTTACAATATATTCATTTTCCCTTTTCTACAATATATTTATTGTTTGACAAGTGTATTTATCATTGATTATGATCTTTTTTCCTTTTTTACAATAATTATTTTTATTTTTACAAAGAATAAATTTGTTTGTATTTTTATTTGATCTTTTTGTTTCCTTTTATTATTACAAGATATTCATCTGCAATTGCTTATTCGCCATATTTTATTTTATAGCTTATATCCAATATACTCTTTAAAGGTTTCAAATTGTAATGATAATTAATAAAATAAAATAATTGTTCTATTATTAACAGTTGATGGAAATGTGGATGTTGCTTTTAACAATTATTTATTAAACATTTTGTCAAGTAAATGAATGCCATTGATTAATTGACAAAAATAGAGAAATGGAAAAAGGAATCTAAATTTCTTTGAAGTGAATGGTTAGTTTATTTTAAAAACGTCAAATTGTTTTTCATTGATATTGAAGTTTTGAGGATATAAATAAAGCTTAAATTTTTGTCATGAAATTTTAATTTTCTTTTTGAAATATAATCCCGTCTGTCCGTACACAAATCAAAATTATTATTATTATTATTATTATTATAAAAATAAAAATCACGTCTGTCTGTACGCGAAACAAAATAATAATAATAATAATAATAATAATAAAAATCCCGTCTGTCCGTACACGAAATAAATTTAATAATAAAATCCATACACAATATAAAATTAAACTTTTTTATAATGAACTCAAAGTTTTTCGTGCATTAAAGAAAAAAATTAATTTGTATAGTTCTAAAATTAAACCAAGGAAAAGTAACATCTTATTCTACCAAACAATAGTGCCATATCACATTTGACTTCTTTTAATATTATTTTATCGGTTAATATTAATAAAATAAAAAAAGTTATTTTTAAAAGTATCACGTGTTGATCATCAATTACCTTGGTTACCGAATACCTCGTTATAACGGATCATTGGGCCAAATCAGTATGTTCGTTATAACGAGGTTCGACTGTATATGAAAAATGTACTTGAACTCAATGCAGTCATTTAGTAAGAACTTTTTAATTAAGCTTTCAATAAGCTAAAAATTAGCAATGATTATCTTTATTATGTTTTATTGTTGATGAAAAAAAAAATATAAAGTATGACTTTTAGCGAGGACAATGAATAATACATTCTGCACATTGTTCCTATATATAAAAACCAAAAAAAAAAAAAAAAAATATATTTTATTTTAAAATATAATTGTATTTTACATTATGTATATATACCTCAGATCCTTCATCTGAAAAGATAGATGAATAAGGTGGCGTATTTGGTGATGATGTTGGTAGTAGTGGTGATGTCAATGAATCCTGTATAGATAAGTAAAAAATTCAATAAAATGTTATATCTAATATCAATGTTTCAATTTACACTTACTATTACAGATTTATTTTTACAGTGGCGTTTTCTGGGTGGAAATCCAATATTGTAATCTTGAGGTTTCCTGGTGCGAAAATTATATCTTGGAATCTCTGATGTTGATATTATTTGATTATTTGTGATGCTCATTGATGATGTTTCTCCATTTTCTCTTTCCCTACTGTTACTACTATCAATGATTTCTCTTTCCCTACTGTTACTATTATCAATGATTTCTCTTTCCCTACTGTTACTACTATCAATGCTTTCCATCATTGACAATATTAGCATGTGTCCCACTTGATAATTGATTTATTTCTAGTAGTAATTTATCTTCTGTCCACTTTTCTGGGCCAAACACATACCTATGGATACCTCCCCACAAATCATATTGTTTGTTGACCATATCTTCAGAAATATGACTATAAATATTTCTATGGCTATCCATTATCTCTTCCTTTGTCCATGGGGGCATTATCAATTCACTTGCAGTATCAGACTCTTTTTGAAATTGTTTCATGGCCTCATTATCTGGAGAGCCAATAAAAACCTTTTTTGCCTTTATATCCAGAGTTTTTGGAACTGTTGTGCCATGATATACCAAGTTTTATTATCCTGCAGTTCTTTTTTAAATTCTCCTTTGAAAACACAACCATCAGGTTGAAATTTATGTTGATCCTTCATTAAGAAATGTTCATATATCACAGTTTTCCCCTGTTTAGCCAAATATATCAAAAGAAAAAAACCAAACATTGATTTTCCAATGCCAGGATTTCTGGTGACAATCCAGCCATTATAATTTTTATCTTCAGTGATTAATTTCCACAAATCTTTATAACATTCACGAATTATGAAAGCAGATCCAAAACCTTTACTATCAAAGATATTCACACCATCTGGAAAGGAAATAAACTTATCATCTGGATTAAGGTCTCTGGCCCAAACTGTTTTCTCAAAGCCCAAATTAGTTTGGGCAATTTGGGCTTCTCAATATTTTTTATAAGCATGAACATTAAAAAACTATATGAATCAACTTAAACAACTTTAAAATAATTTCATCCAATTTCGACTAATAACAAAAAGTAGTTTGGGCTTATAAAAAAATAATTTTTGCTCAAAGTATTTGGGCAATTTTGGCTACCAATAGAAGCAGTTTCGACCAGAAACCTTAATCTGGATTAATCATTAATGATAAAGCAGCTTTCCAAAATTCAATCATTCTTTCACTTGCCAGTTCTAAAAAATGAAAAATCAATGAATAAAATTTCTGATATTTTTCAAGATTAATGGAATGTATGAATTTTCAATTCTATATAAGAATATGCTAATAATATTACATACCTGCTTGCTTGAGTCTCTTGCTTTTGTTTCCATCATCAAAAAAAAATGACTGTTTTCTTTTTCCTGTAAAAGTTATTCAATGGCGTAAAGGAAATAGTAATGGTGAACAAATGTAAAGTAAATAAATGATATAAAAAAATAAATAAAGAATGAAACAGATGACAAGTTTAGTTATAATTGTAAATAGTAGTTCAAATATTCTACAGACAAATAAATAAATAAATGAATGGAAAATATTTTTTTTTATATTTTTTATATGCAATTTGTTCATTACCTTCTTTATCGAAATCAACTAACACACCCTGTAACATCACCACATGCTTTTCCAGCCTTTCTTTGCTCTCCTCCTGCCTCTTCTTTGTTTCTTTCAACTCCTCCATTCCTCACAATTCTTTAAACCTCTTCACATTCTCCTCCTCCATGAATTCTTTTAACTCCTTCTCCACCTTTCTATAATCTTCTCTCACTTTATTTAATTCGCTTTCGATTTTCTTGTACATTGCCATTTTTTTTAAAAAAATTTTTTTTGTTGGTTTAGATCGTAATTGTTATTTATGCATGATTTCGACCAATGATAAATTAGTGGACACATGACTTGGAATTTATTTACGACAAAAAAAAAATTTTTATTTTTATAATTTCGTGATTTGTAATAAATCCATTTCGTGAATAATATTATTATCAATTATAATCATTTTAAAATTTTTATCTTTGCAAATAATGTATTTTATTGTTATATTTATCAATTATGTCATTTAATATCTCATCATTAAATAAATTCGCGATTTGTTGTCTAATCATTAAATAATTCATGATTTATTACCTCATCATTAAAGAATTCGCAATTTGTTGTCTCATCATTAAATAATTCATGGTTTATTAACTCATCATTAATAATACACGATTTATTATGTTCAAAAATATGTATAAAAAGGGTAGATTTCTCCCAACCTTCTGAATTTCTCAATAATCGGAATTATCTTTTCTAACTCATTTATTATCTGTCCTTTTATTTTATTAACTTTTCCATCTCCTCTTAATAATAACAAACCAATTATAATTGTGGAAGGAACATCCGGTAGATTCGGAAGCAAAAAAGGAAGAAAATTAGTTCCATTTACTAATATTCAAAAAAAAAGAATTATGTGAATATAAGAATGCCAATTCAAGCAAGACATGTGAAGAAATTGGTGATAAATTCGGAATTGGTAAATCAAATGTAGGCGATATCCTTAGAGATAAGGAGAAATGGCTTGCAATTGCTAAGAGTTCAGCTGATACTAAACGAGATCGTGGAGGTGAATGGCCACAATTGGAAGAAGCATTAGCAATTTGGATTGATAATGCCAATAGAG